TGATTAACGTCAAAATTTTTTAAATTCGACATAAATCTAATGTCTCCTGATATGACGTCGTTTGCGAATTCGCCGTTAAAAGTCCAAAATATTTGACCTTGTACGCGATTTTTTGTACTATTGCTTAGAGAAGTTGTTTTGATTTAGAATGGTCAATTTGAGCTAGAGGTGAGTTTTCTGAAGTTTCTTAGCATTTATAGGGTCTTAGGGAGTAGTAGAAGTTGGGGAAGAAGTGTCCAAGGTCAAATAAAAAGTGGGATTGGATCTGTCATGGTGTTGAGCACCAGCTTGGGCGCCAGCTCTCGAGTAACAGGACGCTGAGCATCAGCCTAGGCTTCAACTCTCTATCTCGCTGGTGCTGAGCGGTAGTCAACAGGGTTACTTTTTTTTGTTATTTTGGGTATTTTGGGGTACTGGTCTGGGTTATTTTCCGTTCTTCCATAAATGTTGCATGGTTCCTTATGCTTGGATGAAATGTATGATGAAGATAGTGTTGTGTGAACTATTGTAAAAGTGAAAGGTTATATGTATATGGTTTCAAATGGATTCTTGTGTTGTATGCAATGTATATATAAATATAAGGTTTATATGAGAAATGAAAGTGGTGTTTAATGAGAATGAGAAAAGTGTGTTATGAGAAGAATCTCAAGGAGAGATTCTATTTTCTAGCAAGTTGTAAGAGATTGCAGTACCCAGGTATCCTGATATTCTACTAACCATTTAACTCATGTAGAGTAGATGGGGTGGCAGAAAGAATGGCAGGAAGTATTCACCCAAGCCCTTTGGATTTTAGGAGTAGAAGATTTACCTTATGGTGAGTAGGTCGAGTTACCATTGTTTATAACTCTGTAGAGTATAAATACTATCATGAGTGCATGCTTGCAGTAGTCTATATCAGCATTATATCCGGATAAGTGAGTGTAGTGGATGAAGCTTGGTCTTGTGGTTGTATGAATTGTTTGTTCTTGAATGTTGTTAATTGATAAACTAAATTATTATTTGAGACTTTATTTGTACACTAGATTACTCTTGCTTCTGTGTTGTCTGTCTTTGTATATGTTTATCTTTGTGTATGTTTTTTCTTTTGCAATGATCACCTTAATTATGTAAGCTTACGGGTGATGCCTTTTTCAGTCAACATGAGATTGAGAGAATAGCAGCAATCATAAATAGAGTTTTGTTCTCCAAAGAGTAAGCTCTCCTTCATTAAAAGTTTGTAATTATTGGTAAGTTATCATTTATGTAATGTTTTATTTTAATAATTTTATACTACTAAAAAGGATGTTACACATTTAATATATGAGATTAACCAAATCGAATTACAATTAATTCGACAATATTTTTTAGATTATGAATTTATATTAAATTAAATTTGTTAATGAAAACTATTATTTTTATTTTAAATAAATGACATAAACATAGTAAATTTTAACAAAAAAAATTATATGTATAATTTTAATAATAAGATTATGATTTTATATGACTTACTACTAAATTTTAACAAAATAATATCATATTAAAAATAAAATTTAAAATATAAAATATATCTACAAATTTATAAATATTAAAATATAGATTTAAGTTGAGTCGAATATCTATTTCTAATTTTTTTCAAGTTCGGTTGGATACAGTTTTTTCCTCAGTTCTACTGCTGATTTTATGCACCAAAATTTCCCAAATATTTATACATTATATATTTTTTAAGTGTAGAATTTGGAGAAGTATACAATTTTAAAATATTTTTTCAGATAAAAATACATTTTAAATTGTATAATTCAGATTTATATTTCAAATTAAATATAATATATTTTTATATTTGAAAATATATTTTGAATTTCTTATTCCAAAATATATTTTGGATTTCTTAATTATTCAATCCAAAAGTATTTCCAGTTTATACTGGTTGAAAACATATTCTAAATTGGACTACTTAATCCAGAAATGTAATCTAACAATTTAAAAAATTTCTGAATTTTGTAATCTAAAAATACAGTTTAAATCTTTTTCTTCCAAAATATATGTTCATATTGTGCAATTATAAATACATATTTTATTTTATTATAAAATACATAATTCAAAATAAAATTTCAAAACATGCAATTTTAAATGTTTCTTGCCCATAAACAAATTGGACTTTTTTCACGCCTATGAAGGTACAGGAAAGTATGGAGTGATAGAAGAAACTGACGGAAAGATTGGGTGTATTTGTCATTTTAAGTTTTTGAGGGTAGTATAGGAATAGCAATAACCCACAGTGAATAACAAGAACCTCATATGCCTTTGTTTCTTCTAAGCCCAATATTAGTTGCTAAAAATGGACAACATTCTGTTTTCAAATGGTCTTTTCAAGTAATTTCTAAAAATTCAAGATACTTTGTTTTCACTAGAAACGTACACTTTAACTAAATTGTTCTTTCTTCAAATACTATCACCCCATTAACAAAATATGTAGAGAGAGAGAGAGAGAGAGAGAGAGAGAGAGAAAGAGAGAGTGAGAGTGATAGAACATCCAGTTTGAAGGTCTGTTTCAAAGAATCACCTAACCCATAAAGAAAAACAGATGCTGATATCTGTATACCAATTTTATGGAATAAGCAGCCCTTTCCACTGTGCATAGAGATTGTCTCCTATACTTGCATAATACATGCGTAAACTCTTATGTAAAGAAAAAGGTTGAGGAAAATCATACAAGAATTGGAAACAAAACATACCAGGAATGGGAGAAAAAAAACAATTCTCCATTTCACAATATAATGGAATGAATTTAAGTATACCTTGTAACTACAACCGGTGAAAATAAATTAAATAAACCTAAATCGCATAACCTTGAACAAGAGCGTAATCAGATGAAAAAGGATTTTCTTTGTTGATTACGTATTAAAAAACTGTCAGTGAAGACTTCTTACAGCGCTTAAACTCTGGCCCGGGATAAAAATAGAATCAACCATACGGCCAAAAACTATGTAATAAGAGTAAGCTATAACTATGGAAACTTGAAAAAGCCTGTAAGTAATAATTTCCCCCTCAAAAAGACGTAGGCGCAAATGAGTACGGCATTTGCAACTGATAGTTCCACTGGAATAACACTTGTAAGGTAAAACTTCACCAAATATTTCTAATCTTCGGTAATCCTTTACCCAACATTCAGCTCCAACAGTTCTATCGGCCAAAATACCAAACAAATAACTCGAAAAGAATAACATTCTATTACCCGAGAGAGAATTCAAGAGTGGTTAAACCAGGGTCCAACTGCACCATTCACATGGCCGTTGCTGTGGATCCCCACACCATTTGGGATGATTGAGGGAGGTATTCCCACAGCCATAGGAAGCGAGGCAGCAGGATACAATCCATGGGTGTGAGGGAGAGCATGGGGGCTCACAAGAGGGCTCCCTGCAGGACTCCCTTTACGCTGTTGAATGGCATGGATCTGCCTAAGCCCATCTTCATGAATACGTGATAGTGTTTCCAACTCTTTCAATGACAAAGCCTCCAGACCAGCACCGTATAGAGGGGCATGTCTTGACATTTCCTCCTGGAGTGAGGCCTCAAGTGTGTGAATATATTGCTGCAGAGGGAAAACAAAGGCAATTAACCTATAGTATAGGCCACAGATAACAACAGACACTAGCATCAATTTCAAACATCCTCTGAAGATCGTTACTAGTAGCAATGACAGGATCGTTACTAATGATGGTAACATGGACATTTTACATTACTTTCGCCAATCCAGAAAAGTACAACTTCAAAAAAGCTGATTTTGAAGTTTGAACTACCATGATTTTTGAGCTATAAATTGGACAAAAAAGAAGAACAAAGCAATCTATCATTTAACAAGAAAAGGTTTTAGACACCTAAATGATGATCTACACCTATAGAGAAAAAAAAATTAGCTTTAAGGATACGTGATATGATTAGAGAGAGATAGAAAGAAATAAAAGGTGTAAAATAAGTGTCTTTCGAAAAAAAGGTGTGTATCATTATCCATTAACAATACCTAGTCAAACTCATGTTACACATTAATTGTATCCACTCAAGGATGATTTTAAGGATACCCAACAAAAAACTGCTCAAAATCCAACTAAGCACGACAGGCAATACATTACATATCAAACTAGTTGAAAAAGCTAGTTCCACAGATGAAATAGGTTTAACTCATATAAGTTGAACATGAAAACATATAAGGCGATAAATAATTAGCAAATGATAAAAACAGTACGAAAAGTACAAATTCTATGTCAATACAGACCTGGCAAGCTTGCAACTTTGATTCCATGCCATCAATATATGCTTCACACCTAGCAACCTGCTCTTCCTTCTCACGCTTTTCCCCTTCAGTTTGTCCAACCGTTTGAGTCAATCTACGGACTTCGTCTTCAAGTGATTGCCGAATTTCCTCCCGAGTCACATTCTCTGTTGCAAATCTTTTCAGTTCTTCATCAAATCTCTTGCGTGCAGCTTCAGCATTCTTCAATCTCTCGGCAAGGGCATTTTTCTCCTTGACTACTTTCTGTATGTAATAAAATTCGCATTAATTTTCAATTTGAGCCCATTATACACAATGAAAAATTAAGGGTCATCTAATTTGAAAAATAAAACTTGTTTTCATTTCCTGTTTTAACTTTAGATACAAGTTACAAAAAGCCACGCTGTTTTCACTTTCTTCCTGTTTTCAAAAGTTTATCTGTAGACATTGAAAAAGGAAAATAGAAATAGAAAACCATGAAAAGTTGTTTTCACTAAATGAAAACAATTGATTTTCAACAGAAATGGAATAGAAAACAAATTATTTCACTGGCACCAAAATGAAAACAAATGTAACATTTTGTAATTAAAAAGTAAAGGAAAAAATCTTAAACCAAACAACCCCACTAATCAATTCAGAACCAAAATTAAGCTCCTTTCACTGGCCCACCATTTCTAAGAGTGCCACAGAAAATATATGAATATCATCACTATAGGATTATTTCAAACACCTGTTGATGCATAAATATCACCAATGAGATTTTGATGATAATCGACAAGTAAAAGAGAATATAAAATAGTTAATCATGTTATTTTCTATCAAGTAATTTGATAAATGAAATAAAGGATGACTAAACAGAACTTTATAGCTCATGATTCAAGTCAAGGACCAACTCTTTTAAAAGCTCAAGCGGATAATTGGCAAATTGGATCCTCTGCAGCAAGCAAAAAGAGAGAAAGAGAGGAAGAAGGAGAGAAATAAAAAGGATGGAGCAAGCTGGAGGGATATGGTGCTAGAGTAGATCCAGCCCAATTAATGGAAGCCTAGGAATGACTTATACCGGTAATACCCCCTTACACACAAAAAGAACTTTGGACTTGAAGGTTGGAAAAAGTATGAGAGCCCACTCAGACTTTGTACTGAAACTAGTATTTAATTAGACGTATGGCACCAGGTAGGATCAAACTCCTTCCTAACACAGGAGCAACCTGTCAGCTGAAAAACTAGGTAGAACTAATAGCTGAAGACCATCTTTCATGAATTAGCGAAAACAAAGCATGGATAACATTCGCCCATACCAGAGTTTATAGGAAGGATTGAAAGAGGGGGAAGATAGCAAGAATCGAAGGTGAAGTTGTCAGATAAAGCAAAAACAGTAGTAAATTTCATACTGAAGATTGTAAATGCCATGATTCCCCTAGATTGAGCATATAGATTCCTTGGATTTAAAAAGATCCATAAGTACACTTACATATACACCAAGTATGAGAAAAATTTAACTGGTATCGCCTTCAAGATGCACTCAAAAAAAATGTAAGAATAATCATTATAAGCATAAAAGTTATTGTGCAATGCACAGCGTTTAAAATTAGCATAGCTGAACAATTTTCTTTCTTTCAATGTAGAAAATGAGTAAAATTTAACAGGTTCAAGATGCACTCAAAAAAATGTAAGAATCATCATAAGCATAAAAGGTATTGTGCAGTGCACAGTGTTTAAAATTAGCATAGATGAAATTTATTTTTTTATTTTCCATGTAGAAAATCAAACTTTTTAAAAAATACCTTTAATTCATCACGTTTCCGAGACTTCAACTGAGAAAGTTGTGTCTCTGCATCATGTAAACGGTCATGAAGTGCTTTCTTCTCTGCAGAGAGCTTTGCAATTTCATCATCACGTTCTGAGCGAAGCCATTCAAGCTGACTCTCAACTTCTTGAGCTTGTTCAGCTAGTTCCTTCTTTTCCCGAGAAAATCGATCCATCTCAGCCCTCATTTCAGACTGTTGAATCATGAAGTGCGTTAGACCTAAATTCTCCATTAGCAATTAACATGAGGTAACCACAGTATGTTATCAACTAAGTATTGAAATACCTTCAATCGATTGTTCGTCACTTCAGATTCACTTAGCTTTTGTGATATATTAGCTTTTTCCTTAGCCATATTAGAAATCTCAGTTTTGCTTTCTTCACGAATGCGAATAATTTCATCCTCGCTAGCACACAACTGGTGCCATAGTGCAGCCCTGTCCACATTTGCAAGTTCAGCAACTTCACGCATCATACTCAAAACAGGCCTGATAAACTCCTGCTCCTCACAGACCAAAGTAACCAATATATCCAAATCAAAATCTACTTCGCGACCACTGTCAGTATTGCTAGTGGCACGGTCAACAAGCCTCTTCAGCATCCTCCCCCTATAAGATTCATTGGCAAACCATCTAAACATTATCATGTAGAGCAGTTTAACAAACTCTTTCACGCATGGATCTATAGATAGGGCCAAATTTTCAGCAAGGCCAAGAACAGAAGTATAATCATCCCTCTGAACTCCCAATTGCTCACAGGCATCTCCCTCTGTAGAACCATCTGTATGTTGGAAATTTTCAGAAACATATCTTCCATTATTACTCAAACTTTGGGAAAGACGGCTTTGCAATACCAGGGCTACAGACTGAGCACTTATTGCACCTCGAGCTACAGCTCTCTCAAATGTTTGGGAAGCTTCAGCAACAAGGCAAGGAATGGATAACATCTCAAACAATATATAAATATCAGAAAAATGACGACTAGCTTGATAAGCCTGCTCATCAATCACATGCAGTCCACTGGGAGAAGTGCCATGTTCACCGAATAAGAAAATACCGCATGGAAGAGCTGAGCAATTGTCACCATAGTCATCGTCACAATCAATGTCCCTGAGTATGGTTTCAGCAACATCCCCCCAACTATTTATAGTCTTACTTAAAAAGTCAAGGACGCAAGGTGACACCTCAAGACCTAGATTTTTCAGCCTGACACGAACAGACCTAACCTGCATAAAGGAGAAATCATGTTACAAATGCTTCTTGAAACATTTGATGATTTGTCTTCTTACAACTTTTACACAATAAACATCCATTTTTAAGTAGGCACCATGTTTAATGATTTTGACAATACTAACAATTTCACAAGATGTAAAGCTCATTAAATGATGTGGCAAAGCATTATTGAATGCTAGTGAGAACATTTTTTCATAGACAGTGCATTAAATAAATTATAAACAGTGTAACATGGTGCAATTCCCAACTATTTATCTTCAAAGCTTACTGCTTCAGGGAGGTGTTGACATTGAGATGCCGCTTTGAATATAAAATCTATCGTTGTAGCAAGGGGTTCATCATTTGAGTCATTCAAAAGCTCAAATGACTGAAACAGAATGCGTTCCCACACTTCACTACCACACTCCAATTGACTAAGAGCCCCAAAAACCTGAAAAATAGAATGGCATTAATAGGAGAAAACCAATGCAACCATATTTGGCGTCATGTTCACAGAGGTGGAAAAGCAGCACAAGTGTAACTACATTAGGATTGCTCCCTGAATTAATGCATGTGACAAAACAATTCAAATAAGGTATTTTGGAAGAAAAAAAATATTAGTTTCTCACTGGTATTCGTAAAGTAGGTTCTGCATCTGTCTTTTGAAGACGCTCAAGAAGTGCATAGGCAGCAAGTGGATGTTCAGACTGCTCAACCAATTTAGGTACCAAAGCAACAAGGTCAGCTTGCAAATGCTTAGGAGCTTTGTCCAATACAAGAGTAATTTTTTGTGCAGATTGAGGCCGACGTCTTGGTTCTGGACAGCCTTGAGGAACAGCCCCATCCAAAGCTCTTAGTGAGTTTACAATTAAACCTAAAAGCTCCTCAGACTGTTCTGGCCACTTGGTCTGAAATTTCAAATTCATACAATCAAAACTAGAGATATGTGTAGCAAAATACACCTCCAATGAACATTAAAAAATTTGTACCTTTGACCGAAATGATGCACTTTCTGATGCGGTGGCAGATGTCTCTGGTGGACAAATAGGATGTCCAGGAACAGCTTTTTCCTGAATACCATTCCCTTTTAAATCAGAACTCTGCACAGCAGATGTATTACTGCTTTCTTCAACAACAGAATCCAGTCTCTCATTACCAGGAACTCGTGCAGACTCCATTGTTCCACTTTCTCTTTCACACTCAAGAGGAGTAGCAGCTCCACTTCCATCTGAAGAAGGTTTAGAACATGCATCAACAGAATCAGCAACAGGACCTACTTCAGAAGGTTGACAGCACTCGACCATTATATCTAATAGTAAATCTATGATAGCTTGCTGCAAGACTTTAACTCCCATCAGCAAATTCATCAAACTTGGGGAAGATTCATCAGCTTTGGTGGCCTTCTTCCCATCACAACTACCAGACAGCTTGGTAGGTAGAAGCAGGCGCTTCACTTTTGCAGGATCATCAAGATAGACTCGAAGACCAGTAAGAAACCCTGCAATTGCACCAGCATCCATTAGAAGTTTCTCCCTTAAAGTAACTTGTGGCTGAGAAGGATTATCTCCATATGTTAAATGGAATCCAGCTCTAGAAAGAAGATTTCTGAAAATATCTTCCTCATCTCCACTTATCCCTTCACTGTCTTCAGAGTCAATGAGCTCATCAGGGTCAGTTGTCAATGCATCTTGATCATCCTCTGATGCTAAAACCTGAATATTGAAGAAAATATCAGATGATGTGTCTGCAACCGTATGATAAGAGCAACCAAAATTTAATATAACAAGTAGGTATTATAGAATCCAGAACAAAATCCCGATTTTACAACATGTGGAAGCTGAGATGTAATACATATAACCATTTTTATCTTTCACATAAGACATAATCATAACATATCATATGGCTCAGGTATGGGATAGAAATCTGCTTACAAATTTTTATTGTACAATAAGAAGTTCAAGGGATGCAAAATTATGAACTGAAGCATTAATCAACTTCTGTAACTCGTGACTTATCAGCTTGTTCCATGCATCTTATCAGCTAATCACAAGCAAAAGTTCCAAGGAAGAGGCCATATTTCCTAACTGGCTTGTTCCGATCTTACATTAAAAATGAGTCATAAAAACAGATATTATATGTTAAATTAGTGACATGTCAGAGGCAGAAGAGTCAGTTCAAATCAATAACTATGAATACAGGATTACATGTAGTCTCATCTCTAAAGTCAAGAATAGGTCATCCTATGATGGTAGGAGGAAAGTCTTAAAACATGGGGCAAGAATATTTGGTCTCTATCAAATGATATTTGTAAGTACAATGTAACACGGAGACAAGCAATCCATAAGGACTTACCTCTAAATCGGAAAACTCAAACCAAGGACAGCAATCCAATATTTCACATACAAAAACAACAGTGTCACGTACAAGAAATCCTGCATCCACTTCTAACATATCAGAAACCTTCATGAATTGTAAAACAGAATTATTCCACGTCTTTGTGCAGATAGAGGATTCTTTCCACACTGTCTTGGCTGGGTTCTTTTGATTCACAACAGCCATCCTGTATCTCACCCAGAAATTTTTATCGGGATCACTACCAACAGCCTGATCGCTCTCTAAATAAATACATATCGTGTCAAACGACTCATATACACCTGGGTCATGGAAAAGTAAGCTTAATCAAAGAATAAAAACATAAAAGTTTACTACTGCTACTACTACCAGTGAATAAAATGCAGAAGATAATTTATGCAAGAACATCTACCAATTCGAAGTTCACATCCACCAGCTTGAAAGAATTTACTGAAGATTTTTCGTGTCTCCATTATTTCCTTGAAAGACAAGAAATTCTCAACTTTCCATGTAAATGAACTTCTTTTGCCAGAATTATCCAGAGGAGAGCCACTGCTGCTCAACTCAGAATCATGCTCAGTAAAATCCTGCATTATTGATGTCTCCTTCAATATAAGAACCTCAGCAGAGAATATGACAGTGTCCTGGACAAGAAAACCTGAATCTTGATCAAAGAGACTGGTGAGTGTCACAAATTCACGCCAACCCCAATCCTTTGCAGCTTTTGAGTAGCGGTTCTGAGATTCCTTGGTGACAGATTTATCCTCCATCTTCTGGTTCACAACTGATAAACGATGACTAACAAAACAACTCCAATCACTGGAAGTATTTCTTGAATCTGTAACTTCAAGAAACACTGAAAGGTGACATGGTGGCTGAGACTGCCCTGATAGCATCAAAATCACATAAAAATTCATCAGACTCCATCTTTTATCAAATTCTAAAAGTATTCGCTATATTTAAATATACTCAGTGACTATTATATTCACACATCAAAACCCAATATCTGGATTATCAATTAAGCTAATGGTGGTACCAGTAGATATGCAACTACAAGCATGAAATATCAGATACAATGAAAATTTCAAAGACAGAATAGCTGATAAAACTGCAGCAAGAATGCCCTTTCAATTCTACCAATATAGGCAATAATTGCACTAAAATGCGTACAATATTACATCTAATGGAGTTTTGACTCACAAACAATACCGCAAATATTTAATAGGCCTAAGAAAGTGGTTCACAGAAAATGAAAATAGATTTGCACAGCAAAAGTATTGCACACCTCGAGGGTAAACAATAAGTCGACAATCCCTATTACCAATCTGAAACCTCCGGCTCTTGATGCACAGACCCGTGATTTTCCTCTTCTTTAGCAAATCCTTCAATCTAGTAAAATTCTCAATTCTCCAAGTGAACTTTCCAATATGCCCATCAGACTTCCTAGCACCACTCCCACTTCTCCCGGCAATCACAGAACCATTCTTGGAGAAGCTGCTAAACTCCTTGATCACATGAAATGAGGTGCTAAAAACAGCGGTGTCATCCACCAAAAACCCCGAATCCACACCGATAAAATCCGACATTTTCATGTAATCATTCCATCCCAAGCTGGTATTGTCACCGCTCTTATTATCAGCCGCAAACCGGCCATAAGAATCCCTATGCATGTGATTGGAACCAGGCCTCTGGTTCAACACAGACATCCTAAACAAACACCAACAACTCCTATCAGATAACACCACAGTCTTATCCGTGTCCTTGCTCTCCAGACACATAGACAAATACTCAACCCCATTCACAGAGCTCTGGTACACACTTATTCTCAAATTACATTCCCCCGCAGGAAACACCGGGCTCATTATTTTCTGTGTCTTGATCATCTCCTTAAACAGACTGAAATTATGCACTTTCCAAGTGAACTTACCACTCAACACATCAGACACGGGACCTGCAACAACGGAGGAACTTGTCGAAGACGATGACGAAGATGAGGACTGCAACTCATTGTTGTCCCGCGTGAAATTAACGGACTCATTGAGAATGAGAATATCCGCAGTGATCAAAACGGAATCCGTATTGAAGAGGTATCCCAATTTGGGGTCGAAAACAGTGGAAGAGGGTGTGAAATCACACCAACCGTGTGATTTCTTCTTACTGGAGAATCGGTGCCAGGAATCTCGGTGAATGGTTTTGGAATCGTCTGCTACGTTCACGATTGCCAACCGATAACTCGCGAAACAGTCCCATTTGGAAGAGGAGGTACCGCGAGGGTCCATGATTTGGAGGTAGATGGAGATGTACCCAGGAAGCGCCTGTGAGTCACCCTTAGGATATATTAGCAACCGACAATCGTAACCGCCTACCTCGAAGTATTTGCTCCACAGTGCCCTAGCCTTTATTCTCGGGAAATTGTGCACCGTCCATCGACACACGGCGGAGTACTCGCCTCGCCGATCCACCGCCACCGTCTCCTGAGCCCCGCCGCCACCGTCCCGCGACCCCACTGCCAGGTCCTCCGCCGCAGCGGCGGAGGATGACGACGATGTTGCCGCCTCCGTGAACGACGGCGTAGAAGATAGGGAAGGAACTGCCTCGGCCGAAGCTTGCTTCATTGTTTCGTTTTCTTTCGTCTTGTTCTTGTTCTTGTTCGTGTTAGTAGTTTTCTCACGAGTATTGAAATCTTAGACGCAGAGATAGGAGGCAGAGAGAGATGTGGTGCAAGCGAGAGAATGAAAGCACACACAAACAGGTTTGGACAACGTGGGCGCAAGATAGCACCGTGCGCCTCTTTCTTTTATCGCCTCATCCCTCCTGGCGTATGATAATAATCTTGCGCCTTTCTTTCTTCATTCTGTTTTCATAAGGTAGATTCCAGTGCAAGCAAACCTAGGTTTCTTTCTTCGTGCTGACCCTTTCCATCCGTTGGATTAATACAATTGATGTGATCAGTGGCTTGGGCTTGGACCCATTATGAGTGCACATAGTTCTTTCTTCTTTCTGTTTTCATTGGATAGGTTGCAATGCAAGAAAAATTAGGTCTTTTTCTTCATGCTGATCCTCTTTAACCGTTGGATTACCACAGAGATGTGATCAGTGGCTCTCCACTTGGGCTCATTGTGCGTGCACGTGGTTCTGGGAGGATCTGGATCTTCTGTTCAACAACAACCACGTCATGCGGAGAATTCGGGTTAGGAGTTGTATACGAATAGGGTGGATCGCATCGCATTGATTCCCACGATATTTCCTAGTCTGGGATACTCATTTTCCACCCTTTGATTTTCCTTAAACCATCATGGTTGAAATTAGGTTTGACTTTTTTTTGCTTCCCTTTTCTTTCGTTGGGTGCTGGTATATGTGATGTCATGTGAATCATACCATTAAGCAGATTGTTCTTTTGAGCAAAACTAAACTTTATGAAATTGGTCTTATAAAAATAAATAAATAAAGGTTTAATTANCGAGACTTCAACTGAGAAAGTTGTGTCTCTGCATCATGTAAACGGTCATGAAGTGCTTTCTTCTCTGCAGAGAGCTTTGCAATTTCATCATCACGTTCTGAGCGAAGCCATTCAAGCTGACTCTCAACTTCTTGAGCTTGTTCAGCTAGTTCCTTCTTTTCCCGAGAAAATCGATCCATCTCAGCCCTCATTTCAGACTGTTGAATCATGAAGTGCGTTAGACCTAAATTCTCCATTAGCAATTAACATGAGGTAACCACAGTATGTTATCAACTAAGTATTGAAATACCTTCAATCGATTGTTCGTCACTTCAGATTCACTTAGCTTTTGTGATATATTAGCTTTTTCCTTAGCCATATTAGAAATCTCAGTTTTGCTTTCTTCACGAATGCGAATAATTTCATCCTCGCTAGCACACAACTGGTGCCATAGTGCAGCCCTGTCCACATTTGCAAGTTCAGCAACTTCACGCATCATACTCAAAACAGGCCTGATAAACTCCTGCTCCTCACAGACCAAAGTAACCAATATATCCAAATCAAAATCTACTTCGCGACCACTGTCAGTATTGCTAGTGGCACGGTCAACAAGCCTCTTCAGCATCCTCCCCCTATAAGATTCATTGGCAAACCATCTAAACATTATCATGTAGAGCAGTTTAACAAACTCTTTCACGCATGGATCTATAGATAGGGCCAAATTTTCAGCAAGGCCAAGAACAGAAGTATAATCATCCCTCTGAACTCCCAATTGCTCACAGGCATCTCCCTCTGTAGAACCATCTGTATGTTGGAAATTTTCAGAAACATATCTTCCATTATTACTCAAACTTTGGGAAAGACGGCTTTGCAATACCAGGGCTACAGACTGAGCACTTATTGCACCTCGAGCTACAGCTCTCTCAAATGTTTGGGAAGCTTCAGCAACAAGGCAAGGAATGGATAACATCTCAAACAATATATAAATATCAGAAAAATGACGACTAGCTTGATAAGCCTGCTCATCAATCACATGCAGTCCACTGGGAGAAGTGCCATGTTCACCGAATAAGAAAATACCGCATGGAAGAGCTGAGCAATTGTCACCATAGTCATCGTCACAATCAATGTCCCTGAGTATGGTTTCAGCAACATCCCCCCAACTATTTATAGTCTTACTTAAAAAGTCAAGGACGCAAGGTGACACCTCAAGACCTAGATTTTTCAGCCTGACACGAACAGACCTAACCTGCATAAAGGAGAAATCATGTTACAAATGCTTCTTGAAACATTTGATGATTTGTCTTCTTACAACTTTTACACAATAAACATCCATTTTTAAGTAGGCACCATGTTTAATGATTTTGACAATACTAACAATTTCACAAGATGTAAAGCTCATTAAATGATGTGGCAAAGCATTATTGAATGCTAGTGAGAACATTTTTTCATAGACAGTGCATTAAATAAATTATAAACAGTGTAACATGGTGCAATTCCCAACTATTTATCTTCAAAGCTTACTGCTTCAGGGAGGTGTTGACATTGAGATGCCGCTTTGAATATAAAATCTATCGTTGTAGCAAGGGGTTCATCATTTGAGTCATTCAAAAGCTCAAATGACTGAAACAGAATGCGTTCCCACACTTCACTACCACACTCCAATTGACTAAGAGCCCCAAAAACCTGAAAAATAGAATGGCATTAATAGGAGAAAACCAATGCAACCATATTTGGCGTCATGTTCACAGAGGTGGAAAAGCAGCACAAGTGTAACTACATTAGGATTGCTCCCTGAATTAATGCATGTGACAAAACAATTCAAATAAGGTATTTTGGAAGAAAAAAAATATTAGTTTCTCACTGGTATTCGTAAAGTAGGTTCTGCATCTGTCTTTTGAAGACGCTCAAGAAGTGCATAGGCAGCAAGTGGATGTTCAGACTGCTCAACCAATTTAGGTACCAAAGCAACAAGGTCAGCTTGCAAATGCTTAGGAGCTTTGTCCAATACAAGAGTAATTTTTTGTGCAGATTGAGGCCGACGTCTTGGTTCTGGACAGCCTTGAGGAACAGCCCCATCCAAAGCTCTTAGTGAGTTTACAATTAAACCTAAAAGCTCCTCAGACTGTTCTGGCCACTTGGTCTGAAATTTCAAATTCATACAATCAAAACTAGAGATATGAGTAGCAAAATACACCTCCAATGAACATTAAAAAATTTGTACCTTTGACCGAAATGATGCACTTTCTGATGCGGTGGCAGATGTCTCTGGTGGACAAATAGGATGTCCAGGAACAGCTTTTTCCTGAATACCATTCCCTTTTAAATCAGAACTCTGCACAGCAGATGTATTACTGCTTTCTTCAACAACAGAATCCAGTCTCTCATTACCAGGAACTCGTGCAGACTCCATTGTTCCACTTTCTCTTTCACACTCAAGAGGAGTAGCAGCTCCACTTCCATCTGAAGAAGGTTTAGAACATGCATCAACAGAATCAGCAACAGGACCTACTTCAGAAGGTTGACAGCACTCGACCATTATATCTAATAGTAAATCTATGATAGCTTGCTGCAAGACTTTAACTCCCATCAGCAAATTCATCAAACTTGGGGAAGATTCATCAGCTTTGGTGGCCTTCTTCCCATCACAACTACCAGACAGCTTGGTAGGTAGAAGCAGGCGCTTCACTTTTGCAGGATCATCAAGATAGACTCGAAGACCAGTAAGAAACCCTGCAATTGCACCAGCATCCATTAGAAGTTTCTCCCTTAAAGTAACTTGTGGCTGAGAAGGATTATCTCCATATGTTAAATGGAATCCAGCTCTAGAAAGAAGATTTCTGAAAATATCTTCCTCATCTCCACTTATCCCTTCACTGTCTTCAGAGTCAATGAGCTCATCAGGGTCAGTTGTCAATGCATCTTGATCATCCTCTGATGCTAAAACCTGAATATTGAAGAAAATATCAGATGATGTGTCTGCAACCGTATGATAAGAGCAACCAAAATTTAATATAACAAGTAGGTATTATAGAATCCAGAACAAAATCCCGATTTTACAACATGTGGAAGCTGAGATGTAATACATATAACCATTTTTATCTTTCACATAAGACATAATCATAACATATCATATGGCTCAGGTATGGGATAGAAATCTGCTTACAAATTTTTATTGTACAATAAGAAGTTCAAGGGATGCAAAATTATGAACTGAAGCATTAATCAACTTCTGTAACTCGTGACTTATCAGCTTGTTCCATGCATCTTATCAGCTAATCACAAGCAAAAGTTCCAAGGAAGAGGCCATATTTCCTAACTGGCTTGTTCCGATCTTACATTAAAAATGAGTCATAAAAACAGATATTATATGTTAAATTAGTGACATGTCAGAGGCAGAAGAGCCAGTTCAAATCAATAACTATGAATACAGGATTACATGTAGTCTCATCTCTAAAGTCAAGAATAGGTCATCCTATGATGGTAGGAGGAAAGTCTTAAAACATGGGGCAAGAATATTTGGTCTCTATCAAATGATATTTGTAAGTACAATGTAACACGGAGACAAGCAATCCATAAGGACTTACCTCTAAATCGGAAAACTCAAACCAAGGACAGCAATCCAATATTTCACATACAAAAACAACAGTGTCACGTACAAGAAATCCTGCATCCACTTCTAACATATCAGAAACCTTCATGAATTGTAAAACAGAATTATTCCACGTCTTTGTGCAGATAGAGGATTCTTTCCACACTGTCTTGGCTGGGTTCTTTTGATTCACAACAGCCATCCTGTATCTCACCCAGAAATTTTTATCGGGATCACTACCAACAGCCTGATCGCTCTCTAAATAAATACATATCGTGTCAAACGACTCATATACACCTGGGTCATGGAAAAGTAAGCTTAATCAAAGAATAAAAACATAAAAGTTTACTACTGCTACTACTACCAGTGAATAAAATGCAGAAGATAATTTATGCAAGAACATCTACCAATTCGAAGTTCACATCCACCAGCTTGAAAGAATTTACTGAAGATTTTTCGTGTCTCCATTATTTCCTTGAAAGACAAGAAATTCTCAACTTTCCATGTAAATGAACTTCTTTTGCCAGAATTATCCAGAGGAGAGCCACTGCTGCTCAACTCAGAATCATGCTCAGTAAAATCCTGCATTATTGATGTCTCCTTCAATATAAGAACCTCAGCAGAGAATATGACAGTGTCCTGGACAAGAAAACCTGAATCTTGATCAAAGAGACTGGTGAGTGTCACAAATTCACGCCAACCCCAATCCTTTGCAGCTTTTGAGTAGCGGTTCTGAGATTCCTTGGTGACAGATTTATCCTCCATCTTCTGGTTCACAACTGATAAACGATGACTAACAAAACAACTCCAATCACTGGAAGTATTTCTTGAATCTGTAACTTCAAGAAACACTGAAAGGTGACATGGTGGCTGAGACTGCCCTGATAGCATCAAAATCACATAAAAATTCATCAGACTCCATCTTTTATCAAATTCTAAAAGTATTCGCTATATTTAAATATACTCAGTGACTATTATATTCACACATCAAAACCCAATATCTGGATTATCAATTAAGCTAATGGTGGTACCAGTAGATATGCAACTACAAGCATGAAATATCAGATACAATGAAAATTTCAAAGACAGAATAGCTGATAAAACTGCAGCAAGAATGCCCTTTCAATTCTACCAATATAGGCAATAATTGCACTAAAATGCGTACAATATTACATCTAATGGAGTTTTGACTCACAAACAATACCGCAAATATTTAATAGGCCTAAGAAAGTGGTTCACAGAAAATGAAAATAGATTTGCACAGCAAAAGTATTGCACACCTCGAGGGTAAACAATAAGTCGACAATCCCTATTACCAATCTGAAACCTCCGGCTCTTGATGCACAGACCCGTGATTTTCCTCTTCTTTAGCAAATCCTTCAATCTAGTAAAATTCTCAATTCTCCAAGTGAACTTTCCAATATGCCCATCAGACTTCCTAGCACCACTCCCACTTCTCCCGGCAATCACAGAACCATTCTTGGAGAAGCTGCTAAACTCCTTGATCACATGAAATGAGGTGCTAAAAACAGCGGTGTCATCCACCAAAAACCCCGAATCCACACCGATAAAATCCGACATTTTCATGTAATCATTCCATCCCAAGCTGGTATTGTCACCGCTCTTATTATCAGCCGCAAACCGGCCATAAGAATCCCTATGCATGTGATTGGAACCAGGCCTCTGGTTCAACACAGACATCCTAAACAAACACCAACAACTCCTATCAGATAACACCACAGTCTTATCCGTGTCCTTGCTCTCCAGACACATAGACAAATACTCAACCCCATTCACAGAGCTCTGGTACACACTTATTCTCAAATTACATTCCCCCGCAGGAAACACCGGGCTCATTATTTTCTGTGTCTTGATCATCTCCTTAAACAGACTGAAATTATGCACTTTCCAAGTGAACTTACCACTCAACACATCAGACACGGGACCTGCAACAACGGAGGAACTTGTCGAAGACGACGACGAAGATGAGGACTGCAACTCATTGTTGTCCCGCGTGAAATTAACGGACTCATTGAGAATGAGAATATCCGCAGTGATCAAAACGGAATCCGTATTGAAGAGGTATCCCAATTTGGGGTCGAAAACAGTGGAAGAGGGTGTGAAATCACACCAACCGTGTGATTTCTTCTTACTGGAGAATCGGTGCCAGGAATCTCGGTGAATGGTTTTGGAATCGTCAGCTACGTTCACGATTGCCAACCGATAACTCGCGAAACAGTCCCATTTGGAAGAGGAGGTACCGCGAGGGTCCATGATTTGGAGGTAGATGGAGATGTACCCAGGAAGCGCCTGTGAGTCACCCTTAGGATATATTAGCAACCGACAATCGTAACCGCCTACCTCGAAGTATTTGCTCCACAGTGCCCTAGCCTTTATTCTCGGGAAATTGTGCACCGTCCATCGACACACGGCGGAGTACTCGCCTCGCCGATCCACCGCCACCGTCTCCTGAGCCCCGCCGCCACCGTCCCGCGACCCCACTGCCAGGTCCTCCGCCGCAGCGGCGGAGGATGACGACGATGTTGCCGCCTCCGTGAACGACGGCGTAGAAGATAGGGAAGGAACTGCCTCGGCCGAAGCTTGCTTCATTGTTTCGTTTTCTTTCGTCTTGTTCTTGTTCTTGTTCGTGTTAGTAGTTTTCTCACGAGTATTGAAATCTTAGACGCAGAGATAGGAGGCAGAGAGAGATGTGGTGCAAGCGAGAGAATGAAAGCACACACAAACAGGTTTGGACAACGTGGGCGCAAGATAGCACCGTGCGCCTCTTTCTTTTATCGCCTCATCCCTCCTGGCGTATGATAATAATCTTGCGCCTTTCTTTCTTCATTCTGTTTTCATAAGGTAGATTCCAGTGCAAGCAAACCTAGGTTTCTTTCTTCGTGCTGACCCTTTCCATCCGTTGGATTAATACAATTGATGTGATCAGTGGCTTGGGCTTGGACCCATTATGAGTGCACATAGTTCTTTCTTCTTTCTGTTTTCATTGGATAGGTTGCAATGCAAGAAAAATTAGGTCTTTTTCTTCATGCTGATCCTCTTTAACCGTTGGATTACCACAGAGATGTGATCAGTGGCTCTCCACTTGGGCTCATTGTGCGTGCACGTGGTTCTGGGAGGATCTGGATCTTCTGTTCAACAACAACCACGTCATGCGGAGAATTCGGGTTAGGAGTTGTATACGAATAGGGTGGATCGCATCGCATTGATTCCCACGATATTTCCTAGTCTGGGATACTCATTTTCCACCCTTTGATTTTCCTTAAACCATCATGGTTGAAATTAGGTTTGACTTTTTTTTGCTTCCCTTTTCTTTCGTTGGGTGCTGGTATATGTGATGTCATGTGAATCATACCATTAAGCAGATTGTTCTTTTGAGCAAAACTAAACTTTATGAAATTGGTCTTATAAAAATAAATAAATAAAGGTTTAATTAAACTTTAAATTATTTATAAATTTTAATATTTTTAATTAAATTTTTATAATATAGTAAATATACCAATATTTTATATTTTAATTGAATTTTATCATTTAAAAATTATAAGTAAAATTATAAAATTAATTTGAATTTTTGCCATGAAAGTTTTTTCAACTTGATTATATATTATATATGTTTGTGATACATACAAAAACTGTATAAGGGTGTATTCAAAGTTAACAAACATAATATTGGTATGATTAATATGAAAGTTGTTGTTTTTCATGTGGATCTAAATGTAATGAATTAATAAGTATCCTAATAACAATGTAACAAAACATACAAATAAACAATTTGAGGGCAAGAAAATAAAAGAAAAAAATAAAGATAAAATATATGAGCATAAATAAGATGAATGATAATATTGTAAACTAAAAAACAGTCATTCTAAATGTTTGTGAAACGAAAGAAGTTATTGAAACATATAGAAGATTTTAAAGATCCAATACTATCCATTTAATAATATTAACAGCTACGTCAATAGAAAATCAACAATTTTTAAACTTTGAATATACATGTACAAGAGCTATAAAGGAAAGAAACAAGGAAATTTCATATTAAATTAGGAAAGAAAACTATCTTCTTTGGTATAAAGTTTTTTTTTTGGCAAAGATATAAATACTTTGATGGATAATTATGTTGTTTGATGATAATAAATGTAAATAAACATCAAATGATTATACATATATTCAATAAGTAAACACAACCAAACCCTTTAATCACTCTAACCAAACCCTCTAACAGGAATAATAGAAGGAAATGTTGCAACATGACTAATCTTATTTTTACTTGTAAAAATAATCATCAATGGTTGTCACATTACTTAAATCAATTATTTATTTAAATACCAATACAAAGCATTTTTTTTATAAATGAAATTATTATATTTGAATGAACATTTACTATTACTATTTATGTTCATTTATATTTAAATGCTTACATCATGAGAAGTAATGTAAAATAACACACAAATGTTATAGTATATCTTATACATGATTTTTCAATTTTATATTATCAACAAGTACAAAAGAAAATTATATTCTCTATAAGAGGATACATGCAATTAAATAAATCCAATAACTTGTAAATTAAGATTGACAGATATCATATTAAAATTACTATAAAGAAAGCAAGATAAAGATTTTTTTTTTACAAACTATGTTTTGTATTTTATGTAGAAACCTACAAGCTTATATAGTCTTTGTGTCTTAGTTTTTGTACAGATTGAAGAAAAACAATGTTATATTCTTTTCATTGTGTGAATATGCATATTTTTTAAGAAGTGTTTATTACATATTCTCTTTACAAAAGTCATTCCTAAAGTTACACCTTCTTTATTTGTAGTAAAAAAGTGACAGTAAAAAATAATTAAAGCTTTTAGTTCAATGAAAATATGAAGAGATAGTCAATAATGACTCAATGTACTAGTCTTGTTTGTCAAAAACCATGTACTTCATTACACTATTTCATTTATTATTGTAAAATCCTTTAAGAGTTTTTTTTAAATAAGAATTGGATATAACTTAAAAGCTAAAATAAAGAAATATAAAGAAATATAAAGATTTCATGTCTTTTATTGTAAAGATGATTTGCTCTTAGAAAGTCTCATGTTCGTCGTGAAAAAGAAAAAAAATTATTTAACATCTTATTCAGAGTTTGTTTATTAGTTTAAATAACAATATTGATAAAATAAAATAAAAAATTTAGGTTAAGTTTTGAAATATGTGGAGATTACAATGTAATCAAGTTCGTTAAAGGAATTCTTTTTGAAAATAAGTAACTTAGTGACTGTGGTGGATAGAAATATTTGTCCTAAAACAAACTAATGTGTTATTTACTTATTCAAATTCCTTTTTTTAATGATGTTTTTATAGATTATGAATAGTTTTCCATTATACCCTAAAACATTAAAGGATTTATCATTCAAAGTGAAATAATATAAATGATTGAACTTGTTAAGAGATGCAAGTTGTGTATTATATATGTTCATATGAGTCTCATTATAAATTTGAAAAAACCAAACTTTTTAATAATACATTACATTTTAAATCTTATTTTATCAAGGAAGTTGAAGGGTGTAATGACAATTTTTAGTTATGAAGAGAGACTATAAATAATTTTAATATTTTGTTGATTGGCATGTAATTGGCAGGTAATATGTTAGTCCTCTTGTAATTATTATAAATAAAATATAGAGACACTGCATGCTCTTAACTTTGACATTTTTCTTCCTAACAAATATTTGGTGTTTATAATTATACTTTTATTTTTGCTATTTGTTTGTACATAAATTTGGAACTATCGTATCAATTTATGTATAGTTTTTATTTGGCAGTCAACCATAAAAAATGTGACTTTTAATTTAAGCAGGATAACGACTACTATAAATGTTGTATGCATGAGACTAAAATGGAAGGAAATAAATTTACATGGCCTAATACTATGGTAAAGAAAAAGGTAGATGAATGATTCTCACTTAACATATGCAATATAGAGGTGGTTCACTTAACATGAAATTTACACATAAACAACATTGTTTAAAAGATGAATACAATAAAAAGTAAATCTATATTTGATGATAACGTGTTTGAAAAGATTTTTCTCGTAAAAAAGAATAATAAAAGCTAGACTACATAGAATTTGGGAAAACCAATAACAAACTAAATACACAAATGGAGCATTTCGAAAAGGATTTGCAATCAAAATATAGAAAAATACTTCAATAAGAGAATTCATTTTACTCCAAAAATTAAGGGAGAACTTGATTAACTTTAGGGATTGTAATACTTTAATTTTCAATTCTCAATTCTTAAACCATTTATAGACACATGAGAAATGGTGTAAAAAAGCCAATATCATGAAAGTGAAACTTAAAAATATTTCATAATCAGAAAAGTTTACAAATTTTTTACAACTGATCACTCTACGCATGTCTCCTGGTTTAAGAGTTATCAAACCAAGGAATTTAACTTTTAAATTTATTACATGATCATAATTTTAAATTAATAAACCAAGTGGCTTTTGAGGTTGTTTTACCTTCTCTTCTTGAAATTTTATATAATGCTTTTCATGTATCTCAATTGATAAAGTATACATTTAGCTCTCAAGGTGACTCAGAACTTGATGAAGTTTTTAAGTAAGAAATATTACATTTTGAAGTTAAACTAATGAGGATTGAAAATCATGAGATAAGCTAGTTACTTGGTGAAGATATCAATATAATTAAAGTGATACGGGATTTTAAATTTGGTAACTCTAATTCAGAATTAAAGAAATATGAAGGAACTATATCCATACTACTTTTACCTTCATGAGTAAATTTTCAAGTACAAACTTGTTTATTATTAAAAAGAATGTAAGAACTTATTGATATAGAAAAATATGAATAATGTAAATGAAAAATTAAAAAAAAATCTTTTAAAAAAGTTTGTAAATAAGTTTAAACTACTCATTATCCATTTCAACTTAAAATTAATCTCTTCGATTAACTAGATTCCTAAACATTCTCTCTAATATTTTTGGTTGATATATATCATCATTTATACGAATATAATATATTATTCAGGAGACAATAATTAATAGATCAAAATAGTTCAATCAAACTTTTAATTTAAGTAAGTTATTTTCTTCTCTAATTTACTATTTCTATTTTTTCCTTTTCATGAGTTATAATTTGAACAAGTGAAGAACTTGATTGTGTAAATTGAAGTTTGAAAATTTTATCAAATCAATTTGGAAGTTGGTTTATATTGAAGTCTTTTATTTGTTAAAGCTAGTTATTTACATGTAAAATTGGTTGGATTTAAGTATGTTGTAAGTGTATGTGTTGTAAGTGTATTAAATCTTATGGATTTTTGTAGAAGTTGAAATACTTGAGTTATTAGTGACCTAAGTTATTTGGTTCATGCCATAATTTAAAGTGGTTGAGTTTTGAGTAGTCATAATTAGTAAGATTTATAACTCATGCAATGTAAGTCATTTTAGGTGTTTAAATCATTTTCGGTAGATTTGAATAGGGATATGTGGGTTATGTATTAGTTCTTGATCTATTATGTTATTGCTTTTTACAATTATTACATAATCATTAAGTTGTTTATGAAACTATGTTTAAAAACTACAATCGTATGTTTAGTAATAATATTGATTGAGCTAGTATTGATCAAACCATGTTATTTCCTTTATGAGATGATTTCACAATTTAATGATGAATATTTTCTTATTTAGTAAATATGAATCATTTAAGTAAGATAGTTTTTCTCGTATAACATATTTTGTTGTTATGATATGTTGTAATTGAGATATATGATTTGTATATACTTAGACATATGTGCATGCATATATGAAATAGTTGAACTAAATATTTGTTAAATAAATATATGTGATTAAATATGATGAATGGATATG